GCCATCATGCAAGAGGGTCTGATTAAGTGTTGGAGTGTTTAAACCCAAATGAATAAGAAATGGCAAGTAAACCCCATAGTTACATATCTGCTATCACGCAAGAGGGTCTGAATGAGGGACCGAGTGTTTGAAACCCAATGTACGTGAAATGGCTAGTAAACACCATAATTACGTATCTGCCATCACGCAAGAGGATCTGAATAAGTGTACGAGTGTTCAAACGCTAATGCATGAGAAATGGCAAGTAAACACCATAATTACATATCTGCCATAATGCAAGAGGGTTCGAATAAGTGTCCAACTGTACAAACCTAACGCATGAGAAATGGAAAGTAAACATCATAATTACATATCTGCGATCATGCAAGAGGGTCCGAATAAGTGTCCGAGATTTTAAACCCGCATGAGAAATGGCAAGTTAACACCATAATTACATATCTGCCATCATGCAAGGGGTCCGAATTAGTGTCCGAGTGTTAAAACCCAAATGCATGGGAAATGGCAAGTAAACACCATAATTACATGTCTGCCATAATTCAAGCGGGTTCGAATAAGTGTCCGAGGGTTTAAACCCCAATGCAAGAGAAATGGCAAGTAAACACCATAATTACATATCTGCCATCATGCAAGATGGTTCGAATAAGTGTCCGATTGTCTAAGCCCTAATGCATGAGAAAAGTTAAGTAAACACCATAATTACATATCTGCCATCATGCAAGAGGGTCTGAATAGGTGTTCAAGTGTTCGAACCCTAATGCATGAGAAATGGCAAGTAAACACCATAATTACATATCTGCCATAAAGCAAGAGGTTCTGAATAAGTGTCCGAGTGTTTAAACCCCAATGCAAAAGAAATGGCAAGTAAACATCATAATTACATATCTGTCATCATGCAAAAGGGTCTGAATAAGGGTTCGAGTGTTTGAACCCTAATGTATGCGAAATGGCTAGTAAGTACCATAATTACATATCTGCCACGATGCAAGAGGATCCGAATACCTGTCCGTGTGTTCAAACCCTAATGCATGAGAAACGGCTAATAAACACCATAATTACATTTCTGCCATCATGCAAGAGGGTCCGAATAAGTGTACGAGTGATCAAACGCTAATGCATGAGAAATGGCAAGTAAACACCAAAAGTACATATCTGCCATCGTGCAAACGGGTCCGAATAAGTGTCCAAGTGTTTAAACCCTAATGTATGAGAAATGGCAAGTAAACATCATAATTACATATCTACCATCATGCAAGAGGGTCCGATTAACTGTCCGAGTGTTTAAACCCAAATGAATGAGAAATGGCAAGTAAACACCATAATTACATATCTACCATCATGCAAGAGGGTCTGAATGAGAGACCGAGTGTTCAAAACCTAATGTATGTGAAATGGCTAGTAAACACCATAATTACATATCTGCAATCACGCAAGACGACCTAAATAAGTGCATGAGTGTTCAAACGCTAATGCATGAGAAATGGCAAGTAAACACCATAATTACATATCTGCCATAATGCAAGAGGGTCCGAATAAGTGTCCAAGTGTTTAAACCTAATGCATGAGAAATGGCAAGTAAACATCATAATTACATATCTGCCATCATGCAAGAGGGTCTGATTAAGTGTCCGAGTGTTCGAACCCTAATGTATGAGAAATGGCTAATGAACACCATAATTGCATACCTGCCATCACACAAGATGATCTGAAAACGTGTCCATGCGTTTAAATCCTAATGCATGAGAAATGGCAAGTAAACACCATAATCACATATCTGCCATCATGCAAGAGGGTTCGAAGAAGTGTCCGATTGTCTAAAACCTAACGCACGAGAAATGGCAAGTAAACACCATAATTACATATCTGCCATCATGTAAGAGGATCCGAATAGGTGTCCGAGTGTTCAAACACTAATGCATAAGAAATGGCAAATTAACACCATAATTACATATCTTCCATAATGCAAGAGGGTCCGAATAAGTGTCCAAGTGTTTAAACCTAATGCATGAGAAATGGCAAGTAAACACCATAATTACATATCTGCCATAATGCAAGAGGGTCCGAATAAGTGTCCAAGTGTTTAAGCCTAATGCATGAGAAATGGCAAGTAAACACCATAATCACATATCAGCCATCTTGCATGAGGGCCTGAATACCTGTCTGAGTCTTCAAATCCTAATGCACGAGAAATGGCAAGTAAACACCATAATTACATATCTGCCATCATGCTAGAGAGTCCGAATAAGTGTCTGAGAGTTTAAAACCTAATGCACGAGAAATGGCAAGTAAACATCATAATTACATATCTGCCATCATGCAAGAGGGTTCGAATAAGTGTCCGATTGTTTAAGCCCTAATGCACGAGAAAAGGCAAATAAACACCATAATTACATATTTGCCATCATGCAAGAGGGTCCGAATAGGTGTTCAACTGTTCGAACCCTAATGCATGAGAAATGACAAGTAAACACCATAATCACATATCTGCCATCATGCAAAACGGTTCGAACAAGTGTTCGAGTGTTTAAACCCCAATGCGAAAGAAATGGCAAGTGAACACCACAATTACATATCTGCCATCATGCGAGAGGGTCCGAATAAGTGTACGAGTGTTCAAACGCTAATGCATGAGAAATGGCTAGTAAACACCATAATTACATATCTGCCATCATGTAAGAGGATCCGAATACGTGTCCGTGTGTTTAAACCCTAATGCATGAGAAACGGCAAGTAAACACCACAATTACATATCTGCCATCATGCGAGAGGGTCCGAATAAGTGTACGAGTGTTCAAACGCTAATGCGTGAGAAATGGTAAGTAAACACCACAATTACATATCTGCCATCATGCAAGCGGGTCCGAATAAGTGCCCAAGTGTTTAAACCCTAATGTATGAGAAATGGCTAGTAAACATCATAATTACATATCTGCCATCATGCAAGAGGGTCTGATTAAGTTTTGGAGTGTTTAAACCCAAATGAATGAGAAATGGAAAGCAAACACCATAATTACATATCTGCTATCATGCAAGAGGGTCTGAAGGAGGGACCGAGTGTTCGAAACCCAATGTATGTGAAATGGCTAGTAAACACCAGAATTACATATCTGCCATCACGCAAGAGGGTCTGAATAAGTGTACGAGTGTTCAAACGCTAATGCATGAGAAATGGCAAGTAAACACCATAATTACATATCTGGCATAATGCAAGAGGGTCCGAATAAGTGTCCGAGTGTTTAAACCTAATGCATGAGAAATGGCAAGTAAACATCATAATTACATATCTGCCATCATGCAAGAGGGTCCGAATAAGTGCCCGAGAGTTTAAACCCTAATGCATGAGAAATGGCAAATTAACACCATAATTACATATCTGCCATCATGCAAGGGGTCCGAATTAGTGTCCGAGTGTTAAAACCCAAATGCATGGGAAATGGCAAGTAAACACCATAATTACATATCTGCCATCATGCCAGCACCATAATTACATATCTGCCATGATGCAAGAGGTTCTGAACAAGTGTCCGAGTGTTTAAACCCCAATGCAAGAGAAATGGCAGGTAAACACCATAATTACATATCTTCCATCATGCAAGAGGGTCTGAATAAGGTTCCTAGTGTTCGAACCCTAATGTATGGGAAATGGCTAGTAAACACCATAATTACATATCTGCCACCATGCAAGAGGATCCGAATACGTGTCCATGTGTTTAAACCGTAATGCATGAGAAACGACAAATAAACACCATAATTACATATCTGCCATCATGCAAGAGGGTCCGAATAAGTGTACGAGTGTTCAAACGCTAATGCATGAGAAATGGCAAGTAAACACCATAATTACATATCTGCCATCGTGCAAGCGGGTCCGAATAAGTGTCCAAGTGTTTAAACCCTAATGTATGAGAAATGGCAGGTAAACATCATAATTACATATCTGCCATCATGCAAGAGGGTCTGATTAAGTGTCCGAGTGTTTAAACCCAAATGAATGAGAAATGGCAAGTAAATACCATAATTACATATCTGCCATCATGCAAGAGGGTCTGAATGAGGGACCGAGTGTTCGAAACCCAATGTATGTGAAATGGCTAGTAAACACCATAATTACATATCTGCCATCACGTAAGACGGTCTAAATAAGTGTACGAGTGTTCAAATGCTAATGCATGAGAAATGGCAAGTAAACCCCATAATTACATATCTGCCATAATGCAAGACGGTCCGAATAAGTGTCCAAGTGTTTAAACCTAATGCATGAAAAATGGCAAGTAAAATTAATATCTTTAAGCTACAATTACTCCGTATATTCTATTTCTTGGAGGCTAAGAAAGATTAGTTTGAGCTAAACTTGGCCACCGAAGCTAATGATACTAATAGTTGCCTAAGCTAATTAGTTCCTAGAGCAAAAGGGAGAAGGTCATGGGTTAGAGTGAGAAGCTCTAGCATCTCTCTAGAAACGGCTGTTTCTAGGGTTTCAAATCCTCATTGAATACGATGCTAGGTACGAGTGTTCAAATGCTAATGCATGAGAAATGGAAAGTAAACCCCATAATTACATATCTGCCATAATGCAAGACGGTCCGAATAAGTGTCCAAGTGTTTAAACCTAATGCATGAGAAATGGCAAGTATAATTAATATCTTTAAGCTACAATTACTCCGTATATTCTATTTCTTAGAGGCTAAGAAAGATTAGTTTGAGCTAAACTTGGCCACCGAAGCTAATGATACTAATAGTTGCCTAAGCTAATTAGTTCCTAGAGCAAAAGGGAGAAGGTCATGGGTTAGAGTGAGAAGCTCTAGCATCTCTCTAGAAATGGCTGTTTCTAGGGTTTCAAATCCTCATTGAATACGATGCTAGGTGTTAATGCTTTGATCCATTCGGAGAGTCGATCGAATGAATGAGATAGCAAATCAGTAGAGAGGGGTTCTATGGTGTATAAACTAAGTGATAACCTAGGGTTTGTGAGTAACAAATTCGAAATCTTAAGCGATAGAGTCATGGATCCAAATGTTGAGACAAGTGTAGATGTAACTCTGCTGTCAGAGAAGATCGATGACGCTGAGGGTGGAAGGAAAACCCTAAACCTAACAGATCGAAGAACTCAGTTGATGGATTCAGATTTTCAGAGAGTTGCTGACCGATTGGCAAGGTTGAAGGATCCTTCTCCATCAATCTTGACACCTAGTAACCTAGATGGTTCTCTATCAACCTCTCGATGGTCAGATCGCAGGGAAGACGATAACCCGATGTTCCAAAATCTCCAAGACAGTATATTGGTTGCTCGCAATAGATACGAAGCGAAGGGCTATGGCGAACCCAAGTCAGATCTACCCAAAGGACAGGAAGCTGCACAAGCTACTGAAGACCCTCCGAACCCAAGTTTCATTGTGGAAGGAGGCCGTGAGGAGATGCGTCCGCAAAGGGGAGGGGGGAACCCTAACTTCAGAGGAGGCAGAGGAGGTAGAGGTCAAGGGGGTGGTAGAGGTCAAGCTTATACTCGAACCTGGGCAGATGTGGCTGCTTCATCTACGCGATCTAGCGTTCCTCTCAGGTATGTGCCTCCTAATCGCAGTGAGGGCTATGTCAGTGTGAACCTACCCACCCGTCCTAACCCTTTAGAAAAATGGGATTCGTGTTTGGTTGGATATTTTCTGGATAAAGGGGTGTCCTACAATTACCTGAAAAATAGTGCTTTTGGTCTATGGAAAAATAAAGGATTGAAAGAGGTTTTAGCTAATGGGGAAGGGTTTAGCTTTTTCATTTTTGATAACCCAGAATGCTGTACCTCACTTCTCGAGGGAGGGCCTTGGTATATTGGAGGTTTTAACTTGTTTTTGAAAAAATGGACCCGTATGATGAAATTATCTAAGGAAAAAGCTACCAAGGTCCCTGTGTGGGCTAAGTTCTTCAATGTCCCATTTGAATACTGGGATAGTGATGGATTAAGTCGAATAGCTAGTGCTGTAGGTGTCCCTCTTTTTATGGACCAACTCACGGAACAGGGTAGTAGGGTGTCCTTTGCTAGGGTGTGTGTTGAGGTAGAAGCAGCATCTACCTTACCGGCTATGTTTAAGGTAGACTGTGAAGGTATAGAAGCCACAGTCAAAGTTGAATACCAAGGTTTACCTCCAAAATGTGATCACTGCATAGCGTTTGGGCACGATACAGCCAGATGTGTGAAAACTCAGGTTGCGGCTCTAATCAACATCCAAAAGGAAGTACAAAATCACCCTGATCCTAGCTGGGAAACTGTTATGGCCAAGGGTAAGAGGAAAGTTGGTGTTCCAGAAACGACTACTGAGACAGTAAACAATGAGGAGCCTATTGAGGAAGGATTGCCACAATCTGGGGAAGAACAGAACCACCCAGAAATCCAAGTTCAGGTGGAGACTGCAGTGGAACTATCTGATCAAACTCACAGAGAGGTGCTAAATCCAACAGAGGTGGAGTCAAAGGATGAGAATATGGAGGATCTGGTGGCCCTTCAGAAGGAACTGGTAAAAATCACAAGCCTAGTTCTCCCTCATGATACAGGATTGTTGGCTAAAGTGGAAAATCTTGTGGAATCCACTCCTGGCAAATTTCATACTGGCAAGCAAGCCCAAGCAGGCTCAAGTGCAAAAGGTAACTCCTCTGGCAAGGGTAATAAAAGCCAGAGGAAGAAACGCAGGTAACTCCAGTTCTACTGGTTTGTGGGTTTGTGAATTTTTTTGTTATCTCCAATGTCTTTAAAAATTGCATCTTGGAATGTTAGAGGATTTAATAATCCTCATAGACATAAAGAAGTTAGAAAATTCCTGCTGAATGAAGACATTAAAATTTTGGGCATTTTGGAAACTAAAATAAAAGCTTTGAATGAACAACAGATTTTTTCTTCTGGTGTAAACAACTGGCCCTTTTTGACAAACTCACAACCTTCTAAAACTGGGCGGATATGTGTCTGCTGGGACTCAGCTTTTTGTAAAATTCAAAAGTTACATGAATCTGATCAGTATATTTTTTGTGAAGTGCATGATTTAACCACGGATTATACGTTCAGAGTCTGTTTTGTTTATGCTGAGAATAAACATGAAGTTAGGAAAGAATTTTTTGAGTCCATGGTCAATATCTCCCAAGCTCAGTCCAATATTCCTCTTGTAATTTTAGGAGATTTTAATGCTATTAGATTTCCTTATGAAAAATCTGGAGGCTCTACTGGTTGGTCTAAGGATAAAGAGGAGTTCAACTCTTGTATCTTACAAGCCGAGCTGGTTGACCTCTCCTATGGAGGCTGCCAATTCACTTGGGCCAATAAGAGAACTAGCGGGGATTACATTGCCTCTAAGATTGACAGAGTGCTGGTAAATGAGGCTTGGCTTGATGCATTCCCTGCCTCATTTGCTACCTTTTTGCCCTCTGGCATATCTGATCACTCGCCAGCTGTGGTTCATATATCTGATAAGGTGACTTCTTTCAAGAAACCTTTCAAATATTTTGACTTCTGGGCTGACCATGAGGACTTTTCCTCTGTGGTTTCTACAATTTGGAACCAATACATTCAAGGTGTCCCTATGTTTAGAGTGTGTCAGAAACTGAAAAATCTGAAACCAGCACTTAAGGCTCTGAATAAGAAAGACTTTAGTGACATTACTACTAGAGTCCACACTTCTAGGTCTGAGCTCCTCTCTGCTCAGTGTAAGTTGGATAAGGATCCTAGCAATACTTCCTTGCAACAACTTGAGAGAACCTTTTACAAAAAGTATGTTGATCTTCTGGTTGTTGAGGAGAGTCTGGCTCACCAAAAATCTAGAGTCCAGTGGCTTAGTCAGGGTGATAGCAATAGCAGGTTTTTTTTCAAAACCATTAAGGGTAACATCAATAGGGGTAAGATCTTAAGTTTGGAGATGATGGATGGCAAAAAATCTTCAGAACCTAAGGACATTCATAATGCTTTCATAGATTTCTTCTCTGGTTTATTTGGTACCCCTATTGATGACCATTACAATGGGTTTGATAGAGTCCAGTCTCTTGTTAAGTCTAAAATATCTTCTGATCAATCGCTTCTGCTTGCTAGCCCTGTGACTGATAAAGAGATCAAGGACACTTTTTGGTCTCTTAAAGCAAATAAGGCCCCTGGCCCTGATGGCTTCTCTGCTGGCTTTTTCAAAAGTGCTTGGAATATTGTGGGGAGAGAGGTCACCCAAGCTGTTAGAACCTTTTTTGAGTCCGGGAGACTTCTATCCGAAGTTAATAGTACCATTATTGCTCTCATTCCTAAGGTCCCCAATCCTGTTAAAGTGGGTGACTTCAGACCCATCTCTTGCTGCAACACTATCTACAAATGCATTGCCAAGATCATTGCAAACAGGATTAAAACTGTTCTCCCTGATCTTGTTGATCCCGTTCAGTCAGCATTTGTTCAAGGTAGGAAATATCTGACAATATTTTCCTATCTCAGGAGCTTATGAGAGGGTACCATAGGAAGTCCCCTACCCCGAAGTGTGCCATGAAAGTGGATATCATGAAAGCTTATGACAGTGTGAGATGGGAATTTATTATCGATATTCTTAAGCTATGGCCTTTCCACCTGTCATGGTTTCTTGGATCCAGGCCTGCATCTCTAGTCCATCCTTTTCTATTTGCATTAATGGTAGTCTTCGTGGCTACTTCAAAGGGGCTAGAGGTCTGCGTCAAGGTGACCCTCTATCCCCCTACTTATTTGTTTTAGCTATGGAAATTCTTGCTAAAATCTTGGCTGAGAAGTCTATGCATCCTTTGTTTAAGTTCCATTGGAGGTGTGAGAAGACTAAGATTATAAATCTCTGTTTTGCTGATGATCTCATGATTTTTAGCAAAGGTGATGTGCATACTGTTAAGCTTATTATGGAAGGCCTTGAGGAATTTTCTAACCTCTCGGGCCTTATCCCTAATCCCAGTAAGAGTAATATCTACTTTTCTGGTTGTGAGATGGGGTTGCGTACCTCTATTCTTGGTATTGCTAAATTCAAAGAGGGCACACTCCCAGTTAAATATCTTGGTGTCCCTCTTATCACAACCAAATTGAGGGCCACGGATTGTGCTCCTCTCATTGATTGGATCACCAAAAGAGTTAAGAATTGGACTAATAGAGTTTTGTCTTATGCGGGGAGGAGCCAGCTTATCCAGTCCATCCTTTTTTCTATTCAAGTTTACTGGTCTTCCCTGTTTATTCTCCCTAAGAAGGTTATTAAGGAGATTGAAAGCATTCTTAGAGCTTTCCTCTGGTCTGGCAGTGAGCTCAAAACTCACAGTGCCAAGATTGCTTGGGATTCTGTGTGTGCTCCTAAAAGTGAGGGGGGCCTTGGGTTTAAATCTCTTGATATCTGGAATAGAGCTGCTATAGCTAAACATGTTTGGTTCCTTTTTTCTGGTGGCGAGAAGTCTATGTGGTGCCAGTGGGTTAAATCTTATTTACTCAAGGGTAGAAGCTTCTGGAGGGTCAAAATTCCCCCTGACCCTTCCTGGGTTTGGAGGAAAATATTGTCTCTTAGGGACTGGATGTCTCCTCTATTTAATCACCAAGTTGGTTGTGGAGAGTCTACATTCCTTTGGTACGACAATTGGCACCCTCTTGGTCCTCTTTGGAATAAGTTTGGTGACAGGATTATGTATGATTCGTGCCTCAACAATGAGACCAAAGTCAGTCAAATCATTAATGGTCATTCCTGGAAGTGGCCTTTTCCTAACTCTTGGGAAATTCAGGAGTTGATTTCATCTACTCCTGAACGTTGCAAACCTAACCCTTCCAAGTGTGACCAAGTTATCTGGAATCTTACTTCTGATGGTCAGTTTTCCATCCACTCAGCTTGGAATCACTGGAGACGTAGTTTTGGTAGAGTGGTTTGGCATAAACTCCTCTGGGGCCCTCATAGGATCCCGAAAGTCAGTTTCATTGTCTGGGTTGCTATCCATAACAGGTTGTACACTGGTGATAGGCTAATGTTGTTTGGTTTAGCTCCTCATTCACAGTGCCCTTACTGCCTTGACCCTGGAGAGAGTCATTCTCATCTCTTTTTTAAGTGCAAATTTGCCAATAGAGTCTGGGGTGCTATTGAAGGCAAATGCAACATTAATTGGCCTGATTTGGATTGGCCGGATATTGTTACATATGCTACGAAGGAGACCAAGGGTAACTCTCTTAGAGCTAATATTCTTAGCAATGCTTTCTTGTGTTCTATTTACCACATCTGGATTGAGAGAAATAATCGTGTTTTTAACAAAGAATTTAAACCTGAAGAGGTGATTATCAAATCTATAATCCAGATGGTGAGAAGTAGAATGTTGTCCATTAAGAACTTGCCTAGCTCTGCTAGTGACAGCTGGTTTCTTGCCCAATGGAACCTACCAATAACAATATTGAAGCCCCATATTATCAGATATGGGAGGGCTGCTGTGTGATGTGAGTTCCATATATGTGGGTTGAGTGTTGGTGAGCAACATTGTGTGTTTGCGTAATGGTTTGTTTTTGTGTAGGATCTGGTCAAAATTCTCTGTGGATGCATCTGTGTACTTGAGGGTTGAGTGATGAGAGGAATCAAAATTTCACTTCACATGAGGGTTGAGTGTATTCAGCCACCATATTTACTAATGTTAATATATATTATATATCTTTATTTGCAGGGTAAGGAAGCACAAGTCGAGTGGTGTGAGCCCCTAAATTGTGGGCCGAGTGATGTGAGATTCTATAATGAGGGCACTGTTGTTGTTTCAATTTCTAGTAGATTGTATCTTATCTGCTGGAGGTACTTACTTATGGCTGTTCTTACAGGGTCTATTATAATGTATGAGCAGGCCTTGGGTTATATGGGTCGGAAGAGGTGGCCAGGTTTTGGGGACTGCATACCTGCTGTTTCGGAAGCTCTTGGCATTTCTGGTTTCATTACAATGACTAAGTTCTGTTGGAGTTGCATGGAGAGGATGACTTTTACTTCTCCTATTGAATGCTGGCTTATTGATTCTCAGTTGTTTGGCAGATTGCGCGCCAAAGGTTACTGTTCTGGGATGATGGCTGCTTGTAGCGCCTTGGTGGTCACTTGTCTTTTCTTAATTTTTATTTCTGTATTGAACTTCTGTTTTGGGATGCTAGACGGTATTGATGTGATGATATTTTTTGGCTTACCCGTGCGGGTTGTGCCGGGTTTTTATTTCAGTGGTTGTTTTGTTTGTGTTGTCAGTGGGACTGTTTCTTTTTATTGTCATCTTTGGGTTATCGATTGGATGTGTTCATGGACCTCATTCGTCAGTATGCGGCTTATGCACATATCCCTGGGGGGCATTCTTCTATGTATTGCTTTTTTTATCTTTAATTTTGGCAGCCGGTTTTGATCCTTGCTAGTTGACTGGTTTTTTGTTTGTTCTCTCATCAGTTGTATAGTTATATGTTAGGTCCTGGGGTATGCCCCTTGTAGTTGTGTAGTTCTCTGTCTTTTTTTATATTATGTCTTATTCACCCAAAAAAAAAAAAGGGAGAAGGTTAGAGAAGGACGGAGAGAGCAAGAGGAAAAAGAGAAAGCTAGGGAAATGAAAGGGAATTGGGATGAAAATTAACGGGAATTCAAATTCGTCCGTTTGGGCATGAGAACTGAACACTTAGGTGATTTAGAAAACTTAAAATGAGTCGCTTAAGTTAAACTAATATCGGTAAGCTACAAGTACTCCGTAAACTCTCTTTCTTGGAGGCAAATCAAGATTAGTTTGCGTGAAACTTGGCCTCTTAAGATAATGACTAAGCTAACTTGTTCCTACAATAAAAGAGAGAACGTTCTAGAAGGATGAACAGAGTTAGAGAGAATCTTTGTTCCTGAGTGCTAGAGGAGAATGTTAGAGAAAAGAAATGGAAATATGAAGAAAATTAAGGCGAATTCAAATTCATCTTTTTGGACTTGAGAATTGAACACTTAGGTGATTTAGAAAACATGAAATGAGTTGCTTAAGTTAAACTAATATCGTTAAGCAACAGCTACTCCGAAAACTCACTTTCTTGGAGGCTAATCAAGATTAGTTTGCATGAAACTTGCCTTCTTAAGATAATGACTAAGCTAACTTGTTCCTACAATAAAAGAGAGAACGCTCTAGAAGGACGGAGAGAGTTAGAGAGAATCTTTGTTCCCGAGTGGTAGGGGAGAAAGTTAGAGAAAGGAAATGGAAATACGAAGAAAACTAAGGCGAATTCAAATTCATCTTTTTGGACTTGAGAATTGAGCACTTAGGTGATTTAGAAAACATTAAATAAGTTTCTTAAGCAAAAGAAATGTCGTTAAGCTATAATTGCACCGTATATTCTCTTTCTTGGAGGCTAAGAAAGATTAGTTTAAGTTAAACTTGGCCGCTTAGGCTAATGAAACTAATAGTTGCCTAAGCTAGTTTTTTCCAAGAACAAAAGAGAGTGGGTTGGAGAAGGACAGAGAGAGTTAGAGGAAAACTTTCTTCTTGAGTGGTAGGAGAGAAAGTTATAGAAAAGAAAGGGAATTTGGATGCAAATTAATGGGAATTCAAGTTCAACCTCTTGGACTTGAGAATTGAACACTTAGGTGATTTAGAAAACTTTAAATGAGATGCTTAAGTTAGACTAATGCGGTTTTGCACAATCACTAAGTAAAATCTCTTTTCTGGAGGCTTAGCAAGATTAGTGCGAGTTAAACTTGGCCACTTAAGCTAATGAAACTGTTCGTTGCCTAAGCTAATTAGTTCCTAGAAAATAAGAGAGAGGGGCGGAGAGAGTTAGAGAGAAACTTTCTTCCTGAGAACTAGAAGAGATAGTTGGGGAAAAGGGAGATAAATAGAATGAAACTTACAGGGAATTGAAATTCATTGATTTGGATATGAAAATTGAAAACACTTAGGTGATTTAGATAACATGAAACGAGTTGATTAAGTTAAACTATTAACGATAAGCTACGATTATTCCGTAAATTACCTTTCTTGGAGGCTAAGAAAGATTAGTTGTACACTGATCACAAGAGCCTTAAATATCTCTTTTCTCAAAAAGAGTTGAACATGAGGCAACAGAGATGGGTTGAATTTATCAGTAGTTATGATTTCGAGATCCTTTACCACCCAGGGGAAGGAAATGTGGTCGCTGATGCACTTAGTCGACAACATGTGATTATGGCTTCTTTGATGATTCAAGAATTCTTCCTTGGTGGTGGAAGAGAAAGTTTGGGCAAAGAAAGGGAAATATGATGCGAATTGAAATTCAACTTTTTGGACTTGAGAATTGAACACTTAGGAGATCTAGAAAACAATAAATGAGTTGCTTAGGTAAAGGTAATATCGCTAAGCTACCATTACTCCGCATATTCTCTTTCTTGGAGGCTAAGAAAGATTAGTTGGAGGTAAACTTAGCCACCTAAGCCAATGATACTAATAGTTGCCTACGCTATTTGGTTTGTAGAAGAAAAGAGAGAAGGTTGGAGAAGGACGGAGAGAG